TCTCTCTGTCTCTCTCTCTCTCTGTCTCTCTCTGTCTCTCTCCCTCCCTCCCTCCCTCCGTCCCTTCTTCCCTCCCTTCTATCCCTCCCTCCTATGATGTGGGTCTCAGGGACTGAACTCACGTCTTTAGGTTGGCATCAGGAGCCTTTACCTGCTTTGGCATCTTAGCCTGCCCTATCACATTTTTAATAAGAAGATGGTCCTTAAAGAAAAAGATAGAGATGCACTTTGCACAAGCATTAAAACATTTAGTGCTACAAAGATTAAACTCCTAATGTATACAAATGCAATATAATTCTAAGAAAAACTTTGTGTCCCTGTCTGTCTCTGTTCTATTTTCCCTCTATTTCCCTACTACCTCCCCTGCCCCCCTGTGCATATGTGTAGACAGAGATTCTAAACTTTTTATGGCATACCATAGGCTAGGAGTAAAGTGCAAGGTTGGGAACTTATCCAGTTAGGTTTTCAGACATATCAGAACTACTCAGCTATACAGCAAATTCAAGGCCACCTTGGGCTACACATGACCCTTTTACAAACAAAAATGAACTCCAGAAAGCCAAATAAGTAAGCAAACAAACAAGCCAATAATGATATGATAACTGATACTAAGATTAAACTAGAATCTCACCTTCCTAATATATACAAAATTAAATTGTACTGTATCTAAGGCCTAAAAATAGCCATAAAGAAAAACACAACATAATAAAAACATGAAGTTCATCATGTTTCATCACTGAAAGAAGTCAGGATAGGAACTCACAGAGGAAGGAATCTGGAGGCAAGAGCTGATGCAGAGGCCATGGAGGGGTGTGGTTTGCAGAGGCCATGGAGGGGTGTGGTTTACAGACTTGTTCCCCATGGCTTGCTCAGCCTGCTTTCTTATAGAAATCAGGACCACCAGCCCAGGGATGACACTACCCACAATGGACTGTGCCCTCCCCCATTCATCACTAATTAATAAAATACCCTCTCTACAGCTGGATCTTCTGGAGGCATTTTCTTAATTGAGGTCCTCCCCCCTTTCAGATGACTCCAGTTTGTGTCAAGTTGACATAAACTAGCCATGACGCTAACCTATGTTGAAAAGTTGAAAATTTTTTCCTGACTATTGCTGGCTTGATGCTTCAGCCAGCTTAGATACTACAGCTTCCATGTACATAGGCCACATGATAACTAGAAGATCCACACTTAACTCTGTTCAATGACCTGAACTCTCTAGCAATTAGATGATGGCCACTAGTCTGATGATACTAAATAAAGCAGCCATAGTGGAAAAGGCGGAAGGATTTATAAGAATGAAGTGTTCCTTGTCTACTCAGTCCTTGAAGACAAACAGACTCATTCAGACAGGAAATGAGGGAAGTGAAGTCACAGCTACTGAAATGAGACAGATGCTGTGGTGGCAGCAACAGAACAACCTATGACACCTGCTAGGCCAGGAGATAGAACAAAGACAAGAAGTTGTCTGCACTGCATTCCTCACCAAGCAAGTTGCTTTGTTGTGACCGCTACACCTTGTCACCCCACAAACTTACTAATAGCTATGTCTGTCTTCCCTATGGAGAAGCTTCTTTAAGCACAATCTGATAGCCTTGTTAAGACATTCAAGGTGTGGGAGGAGCTGGAGAGATGGTTCAGTAGTTAAAAACACTGGTTGTTCTTCCACAGGCCACAGGTTCAATTCTCAGCACTCACATGGTGGCTTACAACTGTCTGTAACTCCAGCTCCAGGGTACCTGACACTCACACAGATATACATGTAGGCAAAACACCTAATGCACATAAAATAAAAGTAAGTAAAGAAAATAAAACATGTTTTTAAAAGTCTATAAGGAAACTGAATGCAATGGCCCTGGATCCAGCACCTTACCTTTCTGTGCACAGTAAATCTTGACATCTCTGTGCGTCTTCCCTTTCTCTGTAGCCCTAAACAGTTACTGCATGGGGCTGGTAATATGGGCAAAAGAGGACAGGATAGACCAACTACCCATACTCTCTAAAATTAAAGCCTGAAATCAGTGACATGATAGGAACTATGACATTTAAGGTTTACCAACTGGGTTTTAGGCTATGCTATATGCAATATAAACACATACTTCTCAATCAATATAAAATAGTCTTCTAAAATTACAGATAAAGGTTTTACTTAAGGAAGCACCAACCATATCCTTGGAATTATACTTTCTTCTGCCTTTAACTTTCCTCTTTCCTCAAAACTGATGCCCTGAATACTAGCAGTAGACCGTGTAGTCCTCTGAGGAACAGCCGGAAGATCTATGTAAGATAAAGCTCCATTGGGTTAGTCACAGAAACTTCCTGTGAAGAAGTGGCCCGACTTTTGTAAACTCTGCAGTCAATTACTTCTAATGTGAGAAGATGACAGGGTACAAAACACTTCAGCCATTTTAACTAGAGTAATCACCAACATAAAGGTCACTTAGGTTTGCTCCAAGACCCAAGGCAGAATTATTATACACAGGAAACTGTCCATGGCTTCAATCTACAGGTTAAAATAAAGACCATATAATAACATATACTCTTTGCATCTGAATTAATGCCCAAGGTTAGATGGAAAGGTAATAGAGAAAACCATAGAGAGCCTTTTGGGATTTGTGGTGCTAATTAGATCTCAGGTGCTAGAGTCTGCAGCTAATATTAATACTGAAGGTTGTATCCATTTCACTGACAACAGTTTAAATTAATTAAATGA